TATATATATATATATATTCAGGTATAAGATAAGAACAAATGGAGTATATATAATTCCACTGTTCGTAGCATTTAATTTTTGAAAACGGGCTCAATACAGAGTAGAACTTAATATTATTTATTATCGGAGATTAAAAAAAAAAGGTTTTAAAAATCGCTACACAATCGCTTTAATATTTCGGCACTAAGCTGTGCCTCTTCAGGCGATGATAAATGACTGGTGAATAAATGATTATTTTTAATTTCAAAAGCAAAATACCCACTCTTTTTTTTTCGAGAGAAGAAAAGATGAAAAAACAAAAACAGAATGAAGATGAGGCTTAGGTGTCAGATCTCCGCTAAATTCAAAATTAACCTAAAAAAAGGGAAATTAAGTATTGCATAATGTGTCCTGAAATAGAATTCTAGACAAGGTCATTAGTGACAGCCATGAAACTGATTCAAATTATAAACGAATGGCAACAATTGTTTCATAATTGTTGACAAATATGAGTTGTTCAATTTTCCATAAGAAGCTATGGGGAGGGATAGGAAAATAATCAAACGTATATCTAGTTGTAACAATAGATTTTGTAGTTGATAATTAAAAGGCTTCTTTAAGAAACCAGAGAATACAACTTAACCGCTTAAAAATAAAAAAAAAATGTGGAACAACTATATAAGATGTTAATAATGCCGACGAGACAGCAATACATAGCTACATTACTTGTAAATAAATAAAATAAAATAATCACTAGTAGAAAATGCACTGAGATTTACTTAGCAATTATAACCATGTGAAATAGTACTACCAAATTCGAAATTTAACCACATTGCAAAGTGAAAGATAAACTATACCTACAATTTACAGTTAATTTACTTCTTTGGTTTAATAATTTTTATTAGCAAATCTTATAATTTCTTGTGTAGGTATAAGAAGCAAGGTTCATTTAAAGATTTACAACTTCTAACTTTTTTTAAAAACTTTCCATTTTACCGTGAAATTCCAAAAATATTTGGAAAGAGATGTTCTACTTTTATATGTGCTATTCGTAAAAGATAGGATATGTTGGTATCACCTAGTTTTAAAAGAATTCTTGGTACTCCTTATATAATTTTTTTCAACAGTCGAAAATAGTCTATTAGGCATAAAAACAAGAATCATTTTCAGAGACATTTATATTATATCGTTAAAGACATGGATAGATCGGACAAAGTCTTTGTTAAATCCGATAAAACTGCTAATTTCTATAAGTTTAATCCAAAAGACTATAATGTTTTAATTACAAAAATTAACTAAAAATTACAGAAAGGTGGATAAAAACATTATTAATTTAGTTGATAAAATTGATATTGCTAATAAAACTATAACAGACAAGGTTAAAATAAGCAACAGAGTTGGAAAACTTTGTACCAAGGAATCGTATGTTCTGATTAAAGATCATACAGCAGATTTCGAAACCAAACTTCCTACGAGTATTATCAACCGTACGAGGACAGAAATTGAAAGAATCAGCAAGGTTATCCTTGATGAAGTCAACAAAAAAGATTAAACAGCGCCTTGGACATTTACAATGCACTGGTACCACAGATATCATCAATTACACATGAACATAAAGTATTATAGTAATATTGATATAAATCATTATAAATTAGTCGAATATCTGTATATAATTTATTTTCTCTCTTCATAGATCCCCTTTGACGTGTTCCTAGACATCAACCAATACTTTTTATCCACACGAATTCTTTCGTCATCGGTCTTCAACTTCGAAGTATCATATTATTCGTAGAGCAACGGCCTTGAACTTGCTTTTACTATGTCGATAACAAAATTCAGAATCGATCTGAGGCAATTAATTGTTAATAAACACAAAGCAACAAAGGGCTTCGTTTCGTTTGTTTTACGACGTCTAAAACTTTTCAACTTTTTAGAGGCCAATTGTGTCGTTTTCATAAACAATGGAAATGTAGATAGAGATTTGGTTTACATGATAGTCAAAAAGCTAGACATGGATTTTCATTTGCATGAGAGTCAAAAAGGTAGAGATAGATTTGATTTGCATTAGAGTCAAAAACGTAGACACGGGTGTGATTTGCATGATAGCCAAAAAGGTAAAAAGGTAGACGTTTGATTTGCATGAGAGTCATAAAGGTAGAAATAGATTTGATTTCCATGAGAGTCAAAAAGGTAGACAGATGTTTGATTTGCATGATAGTCATAAAGGTAGACAGAAACTTGATTTGCACGATAGTCAAAAAGGTAGATACAGGTTTGATTTGTATGAGAGTCATAAAGGTAGACATAGATTTGATTTCCATGAGAGTCATAAAGGTAGACAGAAGGTTGATTTGCATGATAGTCAAAAATGTAGATATAGATTTGATTTGCCTGAGTGTCAAAAATATAGACATAGGTTTGATTTAAATGATAGTCAAAAACCTTGACATAAGATTGATTTACATGAAAGTCAAAAAGGTAGACACACGTTTGATTTGCATGAGAGTGAAATAGGCAGATATAGAGTAGATTTGCATAATAGTAAAAATGTTGCCACGATTTCGGCTTGCACGATAGTTAAAACGGTAAAGATTAATTTGCGCAGGTGTCAGAAAGATAGACATAAATACAGTAAATAAGTGTTGTAGAGTAGTTTTCACAGTGGAGGCTTGTATTTCAATAAGTCGTCCTAAATTAGGTTCGACGTACAAAAACGTTAGGAACTTGAAATAAGAGTTAATGACGCAGCAATCTAGTTGTGATGGTTGATACTTCAATGTCCGACAGACTCACTCAACACCACTGAGCCCAACTGTCGACCGCTACTACTACTACTACTTATTATGTGTGAAGAGAGTCTATTAATAATAGAATAGGTACGTCAGGTATAGCAATGAGTGACTCATTTTTGTGCATGTGTGGGGTGTTAGCCTGCTGTATGAGGAGATAGTCGACGTATTCCCGACTCCAACTAACATGGCGAGCAGGAAATGAATCTGAATGTCATTAAATCGATAGCATAATCCATAATAAAGAAGTTTAAAATGGCTAGTGTTGGTTGTCCTTCGACGAATTTCATGCACAAAATCGCCATGGATGTTAGCAAAGTTCCCCCGATGAAGATGTAAGTAATAATAATTATAATACGGTCGGTACAGTCGGGTAAAGTGTATGCAGTATGTCTCCCCCAAAATTAACATCATTTTGCAGTCGAATTACATAGCCAAGTCTCAAATTATCTCAGATTTTAGTAAAATGTATAAAAACTTACTAAGTTGACCGTGCAGACTTATCTCAATGGGAATCTACTAGGAATATGGATCGTGCGTGCCAGTGATAATGACAATGTGCTGTTGAAATGTCCGCCACGTTCACCTGACTTGACTCCTTGTGATTTTTCTCTATGGGGCTATTTGAAAGTAGAGGTTTATATCCTCCCCCTTCCTACAAGCCTAGAGGAACTTAAGCAGAGAATGACTGAGGCGCTGGAGAATGTTACGCAAGTCATGCTACAGCGTGTTTGACAGGAGCTGGACTACTGACTTCACAAGTGTGGTATTACAGATGGTATGCATATTGAACAAACGTGAAGCTTTGTGAAATCGGTTATAAAATCTACATCCCTTAGAATATCTTGTTTGAAGTTTTTTATTATTCAACATGGAGCTTATTTAATTTCCTTTGCCTGGAATATGTAGCTACTCAGATATTCACATTTTAAATGATGCCAACTTTTGGGCGCGGGGGTACCCTGTATATTGTGTGGGACTGAAATGCCTTGCTGTGACGCCTTTGAAAATTGGATAGATTTTACGAAAAATATCTAAACAAAGATAACGTATTACTG